TTAGTAGAGACGGGGTTTCACCATGTTGACCAGGGTGGTCTCAATCTCTTGACCTCGTGATCCACCCGCCTCGGCCTCCCAAAGTGCTGGGATTATAGGCTTGAGCCACTGTGCCCAGCCAATTTTTTGTATTTTTAATAGAGACGGGGTTTTGCCATGATGCACAGGCTGGTCTCGAACTCCTGACCTCAAGTGATCCACTTGCCTCAGCCTCCCAAAGTGCTGGGATTACAGGCATGAGCCACTGAGCCTGGCCTATATTGGCATTTTAAAGGCATACTGATAAGCATCCAAAGCTACTCCTTCACCACATTATAAAGTACATGAGTCCTCACTGAACTTAGTCAACATAAAAGTGAATATAAATGAAGTTGGATTCTACCAAAAGTGAGTCTCCAAACAGGACACGTTTAGTGAGCAAATCATTGTTGATTACGAAATCTCTGCTGGAGACATTTGAACTACTATTACTACTTGTTGTTGCTGTTTTAATTGATGCTAGTTGGCATGCGTTAGAAGAGAAAATCAGTGATGACGGAATAAATCTGTTGACTTGAAGGAGCAACAGGCTTTTCTAAGGAGGAAAGACCAGGAATTCTAAAAACTTTTGAAGCTGATTAGCTAGACAGGGCTTTGGTAATGGACGAACCTAGCAAATGTGGCTGCTGAAATGGTACCTGGGGTTGAAGCCTGAGGATCTGCTATCGAATGTACTTTCTGCCCATTATCTAACAGATGGCTATTCTTCAATCTGAAGACTCTTCTAACTTTGAGACACTATATTAAGTCAAATGCATCAGATTTTTTTTTTCGATTTATACCATTATCCTCCCTCTTTTACTCTTGACTCCTGTAGATCTTGGCATTCTTTACAAAGCTCAGTAAGTAAGGCTATTCATGTCTCTCTTATTATAACCAAAATAATTTTAATTAGCAAGAATTGTTGGGCCGGGCACGGTGGCTCAAGCCTGTAATCCCAGCACTTTGGAAGGCCGAGGCGGGTGGATCACGAGGTCAAGAGATCGAGACCATCCTGGTCA